TTTTTTCTCTTCTCTTGCTGCTTCGGCCTACTGGCTGTCGTTTATGAATGTTGGTGGCCTCCTGTGTTGTGTGTCGTCAGTTCAATTCGGGTTAGTTTCGTTTATGTCCCCTTTTGGGTCAATTGATCGACAGGCCGTGTTTGCTCGGTTTTCTTAATCTCAGCACGACTGTCTTGTCCTCAGCATGGCGTATGTAGTGACGTGGGACTTTATGGGCCCTACGGATCCTCTTTTGTCCATCCGAAAGGAAAAGTGGCATTTAAAGCAAACATTTTCTGCTGAATGTAATAAATGCGTACTTCAGACAGCAGGTCGTGGTCAATAGATATAGAAAAAAGACCGCATGCTCTAGACGATCTGAAAAGTTGTTAAACCAACCAATGTCCACATGAACAACGATAAGGTAATTCCGCCTTAACAGTGACTTTCTAGAAGGAAATATACACAAACGGCAGTGAACAAACGTGCTATAACTCATGAAAGGACTTAATGGTAGTTTTGAAATAAATGTTGGGAGCAGTTTTAAAGATTCAGTTCAATACACTATGCTTCCTGGCAGTTGATTGATCTTGTTGGAGCGAAGTTTAAACTTGAATAGGGACCATAAAAATTTGAGGGCAATTACAAACCAATTAAAATGTCCTGCAATAATTTTGATTTTGCATGAGGTCGCTGCCGGTCCTTATACGCATTTGGCAATCTAAAGCCTTGTTGTTAGGATAATAAGAGGAATTACTAACATCTCCAAAGAACCGGTTTCTATTATTTAAGAGGACAACCGCAGCGAAACAGACTGATATCTTCCGTTTGGAAATTCTCCCCGTCTCTCCACGCTTGCGAAATTATGTCGGTCCTATTTGCATATTGTTCTCTATTTTTTATGTATTGCTCTTGCCCCACCTGAACTGGATTTATTTGCTTGGCCGGCTTATGAATTGGGTCCTGTGACTGGATATTAATCTCCTCCTTCAGTTGAAATTGTTCTTACACGCACGAATGACTCACGTCGGCGAACGTACATTTTGATTATCTGACGTCAGACATTAGAAGTCGTCTGACATACACACATACGGTTGCATACGAATATCCACTGTCGAGATTTGCACTCCGTTTATTCTGTATTTGTTATGATAAGTATCGTACAAAAACCCAGCTGCTGGCTTTATTCTTATTTGACGGATGCGTTAATCTATGACACCGAATCGTCGGTTACACAGGCATTTTCAGCAAAAACAGACTGCCAAGTAATAAGTAAAATGTGCTGGGGTATCTATAATATGAAGGAAACATCCCACATTCCACCTCTCAACTCAGTCTAGTGGGTATCGTTTGGACAGGGGAAAAAGTGCCTGTCCCGAACTTTATTCCTATAAAGTATCTACCTATATGATTTAGGTAGGCACACGTGGCCATCAGTCGGAGTGCCTGCGTGAGCGTTCTCACCCGTCTAGATGAGCTGCAACATTGATGGCGTGGGAAAAGAGACGGTGGACGTTTTCCCGCCAACCAGTTGACGATCGGCAGAAAACCAACACAGGACTAGGAAACTCACTAGTATTTTCCGTCCGATTTTGTTGTCCATCGGCACAAAACTGCTGATTTCTGCGATGTCCGATCTAGGATTTGCGTAAGGCAAAGCTAAAAAAGCATATGCACGCAACGGTGGTCCGTGCGCCATTCAGTGGATTAGGAGGAAATCTGGGGGATGGACATAACGCGGTGGACGACTGTGTTGTCAAGCTCAACGCAACCATTCCCTCATGTTGTCGTCAGTAGGACTCACGGTCTGTCACTTAAAGCTATTAGTTGACTTAGCAACTAGCTTCATACATAATGGACGCTTTGTAGCAACTCTGTTCATGACTAGTACGAAACTGACTTTGGGCTAGGACCCAAGCGGAAACAGAAACGGGGTGTTTCATGCACAGGAGTTTGAAGTATTTATAGAATGCGGTCGCTATGCTACTGCTTACCTAAGATAATTATACGCTCTTCCCTTCGTCGACTGGGTCGCTGGTCCTCCAATACCACAGACCGAAATTCTGGGTTCGGTGTGTGGAAGATACCTTCGTCGTCATCAAAAGTAATCAGGTGTTGAGGTTAAAAGAACTTCTCAACGGCGTCTTCCCGGACATGAAATTCACGAGGGAGGGGGTAGAAAAGTAGCCAACTTGCCTTCCTTGATGTCCTCGTCTGTCGCAATGATTCTAGTGGCCTAAAGTCCAAAGTGTTCAGGAAGGCGCGAACATGACCAAATACTGAACTTCAACGGCGACCATCTAATCAGCCAAAAAGCAGTTGCATAAGGACGCTGTATAGGCGTGCTGAGACACATTGAAGTGGGTCAGATGACAAGATTGCCGAGTTCTAACATCTTCGGTGGGTTTTCGGTGGAAATAGTTGCCGCGCAACTTCGTCAATCGGTGCATGCGCGAACGAGACTAGTGATAAAATCGCACCGATCCCAGATTTTGGCGAACGATCTCGTACATCAGGAACGTCTCCGAGATCATTAGTCACCTTTTCCGGTAAGATCGCAGTTCGTAGCCTAAGATGTGAAAGCTTACCGGCAGGTCCCTGTCTGACGGGACCGTTGTTAAAGGGGGTTTTATATATGGGGTAAATGGATGGCGGCGTAGGAGGATAAAATTAAGTAAAGCAAAAGGTGACGTTTTCAAGAGTAAATAGTGAAATTTTTGTGATGTGATATAAAGAGGAAAATTCAGGAAGAAGTCCGTCATATGTAGCGCGGCCTGCGAAAGGTCACTGCGGTGGACAGAGATAGGACTAGCTGACAACGCTGCCTTAGTAACCAATTGGAGGTACGTACCGAAAGCTAAGGTCATTCCGCCAAAGGTGCCCCAGAAATTTCGACGCGTGATGACGATTACTCGTGAAATGTCAGAGAAAAACAAATCAGCGGACAGTGAAGTCCAAGAACGGTAAGTGTAAACATGGATTACGTAAGAGACGCGTGATCAAGCCGCATTGGGTACACTGTGACGATCGGTTTGCACACAGCAGTCACTATTTTGCTGATTAATTGTCATGCGGTTGCCGCTTGTAGAACGCAGACAGCAAGGAAGGTACGAAAGTCTGCTCCGCAAGTTCCTAAACCGTCAGAGCTCGCGCAGATCCTTAATATGATCCAGTCACCAAACCCAGTGCAATACCTGCAAGCGAAAGGAGTGCTCGCTTCGGAAGTCAGGTGTCGATGCCGAAAACCCATGCGAATGCGAATATTGCGTTAACACACGGACGGGTTTGCCTTCAGGTATGCGAAAATAGTATTATTATGCAGTGTGAAGGTGTAACAAATGTGGAACCAAAAGGGCATTCAGAGCGGGCTCAGTGTTTGAAGGAAGTTACCTGACTTTACCGAAGGCAGTGTGAACGGCCCTTGCCTTTTTGGAGGACACAGGTGATATAAACTGTGCAGCGTTGGTGGGCATAAGTGTAAACGCAGCTGTCGAGTGGTTTGACATTTGGCTGGATGTCTGCACGAAAACCCTCATCAAGAGGGCAAAACAATTAGGAGTACCTGAATTGGAAGTTCGAGTCGACAAGACTATGATAACAAGAGGAAAAAACAACGTTGGGAGACTGAGGAAACAGCACTTGAATTTAGGTAAGAAGTTCCAAATAGATGGTCATTTCTAGGCATGTAAGATACAATCAGAAGGAAGGCGATCCTCGAGCAAGTAAGCGATTGAAGCTGGGCCTCCCTTAAAGCCGTTATAAAGAAGTGGGTGGCTCCTGGAAGTCTAATAGTAACAAACCAATGGAAGGCATATGACCGTCTAAGCGAAGAAGGATATCGCCACCTGACGGTCAATTATTCTACCAATTTTGTCGATCCCACCACGAAAAAGAATACGAACACCATTGAAGCCTATTGGAGTAGGCTGAGGAAGATATTGCGCCAACAATGACCCATCAAAGGCCGGAAGATATGGGCACACGTCGATGAAGCGCAGTACCGTCTGTGGTACGGAGTGAAGGCAAGTAACTGGCCGGAGGCGTGGGAAAGATTCCTGTCCCATGTTGTGCAAGCATATCCAGTCCCGGAAAGCGGCCACGTAACCGAAAAGTACAGCAGTTGACGGCAAAGTAAGCAAGAAAATGTAAACGATATCCTACGCATTAATCGATATGAACACGCGAACGAATCAAACACATTGATGGCAACCTAACAGCAAGGCCAAGGAAATGTTGCCAGTAAAAACTAATGCAGCCGAATAAGTTTAAACTGCGTTAAATCTTTTCACTGCAATAGTGAAATCCTTTCTCAGCCTCTCAGTGTTTCCCCCTTTGTTCCATAATCCCAGACGAAACGCTCCAATCAGGAATGAATAGGCAGTGTTCGATGGGAATGAAGAGAAACCGATCTGGTCCCTCACTGCAGTCGTTGTCCAATCATGATGCTAGCCCTAAGTACGCATGCCTTCAAGCCGTGTAATGGTAAAGGTGAAGCTGAAAGCTAAGCATATTGGTCGCCGCATACCCGCCAACCCGCGGAAAGCTCAGGCGGGCAAAATCAGTTGACTAACTGCTGTAGGAGGTCTTTAACGCAAAACCCGACCGCAAACGCCAACGGAAAGCGACATAAGAAGACCACACAGGAAGCCAGCGGCACGGTTTGACGCCCATACCGGTAAAACTGAAAGGCAAGTGCGCCCCCGAATGTTGGGGAGCCATCGGAAGTCGCCGGGGGGGGGTGTCGTAGTGCATGAGGCAGCAGACGAAGAATGATCCGAAGGGGACCAGCGCAAATACTAAATCGCAGTCATAAGTAGAAAGAGAAGGTCTACAGTCCGTGCAGGCCTGCATCGATTTAGGGCGTCCAACGCCTACGCGCCTAGCCAGCCCACACGGAAACCACGCAAAATACGGTGTGGCGGTCGCAGTGGAAGCCAAAAACAGCGTCTGTAATGTAGGCCATTTCTTCTTTTTTCGCTGAAACGACAATATCCTGCATTCCGAACCTTTTTTTATTTACCATGGCCAGTCACGACTCCCAAAAAGACTCACTCGACATTAACACCCTTCCTTTTAAACTGCCACCGTTTACCCCGAGCAATCCTCGCGTTTGGTTCAGGCAGATCGAGGCTGTTTTTGCGACAAGCCGCATTACTAGCGAGCGTACCCGCTATTCGTACGTTTTGCAGTCCCTCCCATTTGATGAAGCTGTCACCGTCGAAGACCTCCTTGACCCCATTCCAGCAGACAAACCGTATACGCTGCTGAAGGAAGCGGTAATCCAATGGGTGGCTAAATCGGCCAACCTTATGCTGCGGGAACTTTTCACGCAAGTAGAGCTAGGTGATCAGACACCTTCCCAGCTCATGCGTCACATGCGCTCACTTCTCGCTGGTGGAGACATAGACGACGCCATTTTTCGCGAGATTTGGTTAGAAAAGTTACCGGTGCCTATGCAACAGGTTTTGGTTATGTTGGACTCGAATACACCGTTAGAGAAGCTAGCTACCCACGCTGACAGAATCAAAGAGTGTTACCCCATTGGTGCCTCGTGTTCCAATATTCAACAGCCCCGCCTTCCAAAGGCAAGCCCCATCAGGGCATTGACTTTGACTCAGAAGGCCTAGCATTATCAGAGCACGACACTTCCTATCCGGAAAAAGCACCATGATGTTGCACAGCCCGACGAGCGGCCACATCAACCGGTCCTCCCAGAACACCCACCGACGCTTATCGCGCCGATTACGACGACCTAAGAGACACTGTGCGCCTCCTTTGCACTCAGGTGAGCAACATGTACTCTGCTCTTAACAGTCTTCAATCGGCTAGAAAACAGCCATACTCCCATCGTCGGTCTAAATCCCGTGAGCGGCGTTCACAACCATTATGTTGGTACCATCGCACCTATGGCCCGAAAACCCAAAAGTGCATACCTCCTTGTTCGTTCGGTTGTCCTCCCACAGTTAAAAGACCACACCAGTCATTAATGGCGACGACTGCTGCTGGCCCATCGCGACCCAGTCGCATTTTCTATATCAACGACAAGTCGAGCGGCCTCCGTTTCCTAGTTGATACCGGTGCCGAGGTCAGTGTCATCCCGCCTCTAGGGTGTCACCGCCTCAAGCCTTCGCAATTCTCATTGCAGGCTGCAAATAGCACCACAATCAGCACCTACGGCCAGCGGTCCCTCACTTTAGATCTTGGTCTCCGACGACGTTTCCAATGGGTCTTTATTGAGGCTGACGTCAAATCGCCCATTATCGGGCCGACTTTTTGTCATCTTTCGGCTTAACAGTCGATGTCAGACACCGTCGCCTCACAGACACAACCACCCAACCTTTTTGCCATAGGTACCATTTGCTCAGAACGTTCGGTTGGCATTCACCTCACCATCCCCAGCACCCCTTTCGCTGACATTTTGAAAGACTTCCCGTCCATCACTAAACCATGTCATTTTACCGAAACCGTTCAACACGGAGCGAAACACCACATTGTCACGGCAGGGCAACCAGTGCATGCTCGTCCGCGTAGACTCCACCCTGAGAAGCTCCGAATAGCAAAGAACGAATTTAAACATATGATGAATCTGGGCATTATACGCCCATCATCTAGCCCATGGGCCTCACCACTGCACATGGTGCCAAAGAAGTCATCTGACGATTGGAGACGGTGCGGTGATTATCGAGCCCTAACCAGGTTCACAATTCCTGACCGGTACCCCATTCCCCACATTCATGACTTTTCCCACATGTTAGCCGGTAAAACTATTTTTTCCCAGCTTGACCTCGTCAGGGCGTACCACCAAATCCCGGTCGCTGAGGAAGATATCCCAAAGACCGCTATCATGACACCCTTTGGGCTGTTCGAATTTATTCGCATGCCTTTTGGTTTGCGCAAAGCTGCCCAGTCGTATTCGCCCAGGGAAGTTCGTCACCTGGACTATATATCGCAGTTTACCGCAGATATCCGCTACGTCCGAGGCAGCGACAATGTCGTTGCTGATGCATTATCCCGTCCGGACATCAACACACTCACATCCGATTTCGACCTGACGAAGCTTGCAGACCTCCAAACCGCCGACGAGTCCATCGCGGACTTACGTACGTCTACTACTCTGCAGCTTCGAGATGCATCACTTCCTGCGTCACCAGATACGATTTTGTGCGATTGGTCCACAGGCCGATATCAAAGTTCTTCAATTGCCATGAAGGACATATTATTCATGCCCCTAAAAACTCCCAAACTGCAAACTTCAATTTTTATATTGTACATATCGTTATTTTTTTAAAAATCTTGTTATTATTTTCGCTTAGAACTGAGGTTTTTTTAAACCTAACACAAACTCTCAATTCGCGCTCTTTTGACTAAACAGACACCCGAAACAAATGAAGTCAAAAAGCAGTTGAAATTGACGAGTTTGTTTTAGGTTTTTTTCCTGAGTTCAAAGGGGACTGACAGTGCCCAGGGGGCGCTACAATAAACCTATTATATTTATGATGATACGGAAGGCCTTTAACAAATAAACGAAATGATCAGTATCTTTAATGAAAACAAATATACTTAGATAGAACTGGACATCAAGTCTTGAAAAAGGAAATCATATGCTCAATGCTATGAGCAACTATAATGAATGTAGTAAAACGCTTTACAAAATGCTCTCGTTATAGTATTTGAACGAATAAAGAGTCCCAGTAACGTGCCCAAGCTACGTGAAGATTAAATTCAATTTCCAGAAGGCAACGGTATACAGAAGGACCCCATTTAACAGTCAGTAGACTGTTGATCGTGCCATACGTGATTTATGATGAAGCGAGTTTTATGGGTGGGCAGCAAGCTAGACAGTAAGCTGACAAAATGAAAGAAAGCACACAAATCGCCTGGATTTATGCCGAAAGTCTTATCCTACGCTATCGTACGAAAACGGAAATGAGAGTAGTAATTAAACAATAACCAAAAAGTAAATTTCACAAAATAACGGATCTCGAGTTAAGGTGTGGGGTTGTGGGAAGTAATCGCTGTTGGCAGTGTAATTTCTGCAACAGCCGGCAAATGTATGCCAAGATAAAACCCCATATGACACGATCCACGGTGTACTGACAAGTAAGTGGGATCCTTCTCTATACCGTTGCTTTCCAGAACTCTGGCAGCGATTTCCAACAGTAATTGTCTTGTGTGCTGAGGAGGACTTTTTTACGTGCACAACTATCGAGCAGTTTTAGCACGACTTTTAGAAATAATCTGATGACGGCCGCACATCTGAAGACTGAAATTCCAACTTCCCCGATATATATTTTAGCACGTTCAGATAAATCTCTTGGAATGTAACTGGTTCTTCTCGTGGAAATAAAACTTTTTTTCTTCGCCTGGATATCACCTTTTCCATTACCAGTATCTCTCGACTGGAAAAACTATCAACGCGCTGGAGTGGTCCAATCAGCGTCGCCGTCTGTGCTTCCGACAGGCAGGCTTTTCGCCTGCCTTTTCTGTTGAGTTGGTCGAACATCCTTTCTAAACGGAAGAACATCCTATATCACATTGTCTACACCTATAATGTACGTCTGTGTAGATCTTTAATCGCTGTATTTGGGGGCACAATTTGATTCCATCTGCGGATTGGAAACCCAAATTATAAAAATTGTGATTCGTTTAAGAGGAATCAGTCTTCGAAACTTACTGAATACGGTAATCGCTCTACCGCTGACTCACTTGCGACCCCTGCAACTAAAAGTACTTATGACTTTCGCTGAACTTTAAGGAAATCAGCACACTATTCATGACTTTGAAACAACACATGGATGCTTCTAATATTTTCGGGTTGCATGCCGCAAAACACAATCAGGCGGTGTTTTTGTGTTTATTCTTAGTCGTCCATTCCACACCCAGTGTAACGTTTATCCAGCACAGTGCGACTTTTAAATGAGAATCATTTTTTCTCGGCAATTTGAAAAGCTGGCATAGCCCCGTTCAAACAACCATTTAAAACAACGGATGTCACAGCAGTGAGCACTCAAAGTTACGTTTTAATGTGACGTACTTCGTTCATTTTCATAGTGTCGTGTCTCCCTGGGCAGCCTTTTCGGGGATAAATAGTTTATGTATTTACTTGCACTTTCCAAGGACCGAAACGCGTAAACTCGGGTGAGTATTTCGTCAACTATATTTGAACGATACGGGCAGAGACGCTGCAGTAGCAGTATGCGAATCAGTTGAAAGTGCTAGCTTAACCTACAGAAGTGACAGTACTGACAGTTTTACCAGCACAAGAAGAGGCTTTCTGAGAGACCGCAAGTACTGCGTTCGACTGTCTTAGGAGCAAAACGCCAAAGGTCGGAGAAGATGAACGACAGTATTTTGTCACATTCAATTAGGAGTACAGGAAAAATGAATTGTACAAAAAATACGAAGAAAAAACGAAGCGCACAATGCTGTTCCGATGCCTGTTGCAGGCCATCCTCTCCACATACGCCCAGGTGCGCTAGTTGAGGGGATTTAAGTCTGGTGAGCATGGCGACCATATATCCTTGGGTCAGAAATAAGGCATGTGGTCAACCAGAAACGTCTGTATCTTCCGTGACAGGAGTGGGGGCGCGCCATCTTGTAGTTGAAATCTATCCAAGGTTTGAAATGCTTCTGAAAAACATCCAGGTACGAGTCTGTGTTCATTTTGGCGTCGGTCTTGATGCACACAGGGGGCATGACTTTGCCGTCTGCGGCAGCCGGACCAAAGACCACCACAGACGAATGATGTTTGGTCTGAAACATGTACTGAGCATTCTCACGTAGCTCGATGATCTTCAGGGGGCTTATGTAGCTATTTGTCCGACTGTTGGACACCCAGTCGGCCGTGAAGAATTTTTCGTCGAAGTAGAACATCGTGTATAGTTCTTTATTGAGGAAGCTTAAGATCCTCTTACTTCTTTCCAGTCTCTTCTCTTTCACAGCCCTAATAGTGGGGTGCTTCTTGGTCCTGGCCTTAGAAGTAGCCTTCAGATTCTTTTCAGCATATTCCTGACCGCCTGTTCCGACACCTCGAGCTTCAAAGCTATCTTTCTCATGCTCCGGACTAGGTTACGACGAATACGATCCCCGACAGCCCTTATAAGACAAGGGCTTCGAACGTTTTTTTGTTTTTTTTACTACCATGTTTCCTGTAGATGCGACCGAACTCCTTATATCGGTCGATAGTGGTGTAAAATCTAGAGCTGGCCATTTACAACTTGGAAGCGATGCCCTTGGGCGAGAGGCCATTGAGAATGAGCTTAATCATTGCCTCGTTATTTGTTCATGGCAAAATATTTGAAAACGTTTTCCAAGAATCTGTTATTGTATGACATATGTGTGAGTTTATAAGAAAAAGCATAAACAAAAATATGCTCTCTTTTAGTCAATCAATAGAGAATCACGTCTTCTCTATATTCTATACTTAAGGAAGGAGTATAATTAGGTTTTGAACAAGTTTTCAAATTGCCGAATAATTTGGAGCCTGATCATTCATTGCATTAGCGATTAATGATTTCACTCTACAAGGTACATGCGTTCCGCGTAAAGAAAATCCCATATTTTTCTATGCCATTAAAGAGATATCATACAGAGTCCATAAAATTTTGCGATGGATGCGGGTCATGTTGTACATTTCAGGAGGAGCAGTGGTAAACGGCCAGGTACGATGCTACGTGAATGGACATTTCGCGGTCATAAAAAGTCTCATAATTAGAAACTTTTTAAAACCTAATTATACTCCTTCCTTAAGTATAAAATATGAAGGAGATGTGATTCTCTATTGATTGACTAAAAGAAAGCATATTTTTGTTTATGGTTTCTATAAAATATATTTGAATTTGCAAGACCATCGAAAATCAATGGGACAAATGCGTGCTAATTAAATAGTCATTTTTTCTGAGCACGCTTTCTACAAGAGATTAAAAAGAAGTGGATTTAAAAGCCGACATCCTGCCGAGTCCGTAATGTTATATAGGGTCTGCCTTAAGATAATCAGTATTACAACCGCGACCAAGTAATCCTTCCTAATCGAAAACGCATTTCAGAATTTCAGTCAACATTTCATGAGATCGTTCACTCACTGTATGTGAATCCCTTGTCAACCAACCACTAGGACGTAGGTATTCCGACAACCTCACTCAAGGAGCTGAGACTAAAAATGCACATAAAACGCGCAGTTCCTTTTTAACGACGAAATATGTAGACAAATAGACGAAGTTGCTATGCGATCGCCTGTTGATTAACTCCCAGTCGATGTCTTCATGGGCAGGCTAGAGAAGTCCCAGTTTAATGACAAAATCAATAAGCTAAGGCACCACGGTCTCTACACTGACGATATTTTCCAAACTGCCACCATAGAAACCTACATAGTCGCCCACTTAATCGCGGTAAATCATGCATATCCTTTAATCGAATTCACGTTAAAGATAGAAACGGTCGGTTCGCTCTCTTTCCTAGATATCATTCTAAACAGGAGACCTGACGGGAACATCCGAAGGAGCGTCTGTCGAAAGAAAACCGGCCATGGAAAATGCACGGACTTCGACAGTTTCGTACCCCTCCAACATAAACGAAATCTAGTCCGGTGTATTGCGCAAAGGGCGGGTAAAATTTGATCTGCAGACAGCATCGAGGGGAAACTTAGAATGATCTAGGACTTGCTTCGCAAAAACTGGTATCCTGACAGAACAACCTGTAAAACCCACTACACTGACTGACGAAAAGAAAACTTTGTTCCTCAAAGTCCCTTTTCAAGGGACGCTGTGAGTGAACTCCTAAGAAGACGCCTTGAGAAAGCTGTCTCGCAAACTTTCCTAACAGCAAGGGTTCGAATATCATTCTCTGCTAACCCTATTTTACGCAGAGAAGGTAAAGATAAAGTGCCACCTCAAACCACATCAATGTGCATCTTCTTCCTCACTTGCTCTTACGGAGCATGTTGTATTGGTAGTACGAATCGGCGCCTATCCAAGAGAATACAAGAACACCTCCAGGCATGGCTAGAAAAAGGCAAGACTAGGAGCATAAACAGTGCCGTTCTCGCGTATGTTGTTGATTTCGGACGTCGTTTTGACTCTAGCAAGGCTTTTCGTGTGATCTTACTACCCTAAACCGCTGGGTCAATGCCTGTTAGTAACAGCGGAAGCGACTCCCGTCAGGTTACAGAGGACGATCCTGTGCTCGCAGAAGAAGCACTTGCACGCTCCGTGCCTACCACGGCAAAGACCGATTAACTACATGCATGTCTCCGCACCCCCATTCCCTCCCCTCCTTGTGTGACGAAGCTCTACCGAACCCTCTCGGTCATTTACCGACTTCTCCCCCCGCCTTCACACATCCATCGAATTATCTTATTGCTCACACTTTTTAACTTGTACTTCGTCCCCATATAAATCTAACGGTCCGATGAGAATTTATCAAAAGCACACGTATGCTCGCCAAATGGTCTTCTGAATGTGGATGTTCTTATCCGGCGAGCTGAAGCAGAAGGAGCTGATTCATTTTCGAAATGATCACTCACATTGATCCGTATTTAAGTACGCTTGGTTCATATAGATGGGGCAAAAAATGGCACAGTCATTGCACAAGACTACGATTCAGCTTTCCTTCCAGTGAAGTCCATATTCATTCTAAGTGATCGATGGTTACCTGCAAGGCCGGTCGGCTTGCTTGACCGACCCAACCGGGGAGAGGGGAGGGGTAAATGAGGCAGCCGATGAGGTAGGGGCGAAATGGTTTGTCGTTTGAATAAAATGTGCCTTTTTGCTTGACAGGATCAATTATTAACAACAAAACCGGATAAATAAGTGACATTCAAGTCTCGATCATGGCATGGCCGGGAAAACGTCAGATTAGGAGCATAACCAGCGCCGTTCTCGCGTATGTTGTTGATTTCGGACATCATTTGGACCCTAGAAAAGCTTTTCGTGTGATCTAACTACCCTAATTTTCCTGTTAGCAACAGCGGAAGTGACTGCCGTCAGGTTACAGAGGACGATCCTGTGCTCGCAGAAGAAGCACTTGCACGCTCCGTGCCTACCACGGCAAAGACCGATTAACTACATGCATGTCTCCGCACCCCCATTCCCTCCCCTCCTTGTGTGACGAAGCTCTACCGAACCCTCTCGGTCATTTACCGACTTCTCCCCCCGCCTTCACACATCCATCGAATTATCTTATTGCTCACACTTTTTAACTTGTACTTCGTCCCCATATAAATCTAACGGTCCGATGAGAATTTATCAAAAGCACACGTATGCTCGCCAAATGGTCTTCTGAATGTGGATGTTCTTATCCGGCGAGCTGAAGCAGAAGGAGCTGATTCATTTTCGAAATGATCACTCACATTGATCCGTATTTAAGTACGCTTGGTTCATATAGATGGGGCAAAAAATGGCACAGTCATTGCACAAGACTACGATTCAGCTTTCCTTCCAGTGAAGTCCATATTTATTCTATGGGATCGGTGGTTACCTGCAAGGCCGGTCGGTTTGCTTGACCGACCCAACCGGGGAGGGGGGAGGGGTAAATGAGGCAGCCGATGAGGTGGGCACGAAATGGCTTGTCGAACGAACAAAATCTGCCTTTTTGCTTGACAGGATCAATTATTAACAACAAAACCGGATAAATAAGTGACATTCAAGTCTCGATCAAAAATAATCTGCTCAAGACCGGTCCAAACCGGTCAATGGCTCCATTCTCCCTACTGCATCCATGCGTTCTCCAACACGGGTCTGTAGTAGTCTGCCGGTTTTACAAGAGTAGTCTACTTCTTAGTAGTCACGATGAACCCAGCAGATGACGTTTTTCGCTTTATGCCTTGACAGGGGGGTGTCAGGTATCTTGATCAGCTGTCGAATTGTTAAATCCTTCGGCTGAAGATGCCGCTCAACAGAAGACGGCCACAGAAATGTCGTCAATGCAGGGAAGTGCTCATCAGACTTTTTGTCATTCTGTCCCAGAATTGCAACCTGACCGAGATTGCATGTAATGCATTCGATGACATTTCGAGGATAACCCTTGGCCATGAAGGGGCGCTGCAGTAGCATATTTCTGGAGTTTTTTTCGTTCGACTCGCTGCAGTGTTTTTCAGCCCTTCTGAAGAGTGTTCGCACGCAACTGAATTTGTGGCATAACGGGGGCTTACTGTGGTAGCTTGGGATCTGACGTGTATTGGTGGCCTTCCTATACACCGTCCTTTTTATTCTTTCGTTTGGGTTTCCGATGGACGAGAACGTCCAACACTGCTTTCCCCTCAACTGTGGAAACAGACAATCGTAAGTACATAGACAAGAGTGTCAGTCAGGTACGACAGTTAAGCTCAATTCGGGCTGTCAATCTTCTAAAATCGGTGCTGCACAACGAGAGACACATAGAGTGAGAACATTTGGCCACATCCGACTTGCCCCCCATCGGCCACGGTCCCTGTGCACATGCAGATGATGATCATTAAGGTTAAAACACCTGTCCCACATCTAGCGGCATGATGCCTGAGGAGTCTCTCCCCACCCCTTCCTCTCTGCCGCCCTGACTGCATGCGCAAGCCCATCTTTACAGTCACAGCCACTCACCTTCAAATACCACGAGGCGCGCTACAACTCAGCACCGGTGGTAGAAGCTTGTTTGCCTATGAACGTCAGGACAATATAATTATGGCTCTCGAAGTCGTCTATTCTTTACATATCGCGATCGGTGGGCACGCTTCCAACAATATCTGTACAAATATCGAAAGAGCAGTGACAACAGAGAATGCGGATTTATTCGTGCGGTACTGTTTCAGGCTTATCCTAGAATCATTCAGCTAATCAAAACCATGACCAGCAGCAGGGTCCACAAGCACAAGCGTGCGCTCGTACACGGCGCAGATAGTCCACAGACTGGATCTAAAAGATGGGTCATAAACACCTCATGGGACCGCAGTTCATTAGTGCCTCACAATTTGTCCTTATCCGTCGCTGCAGTTAGAATATGTGCTCAGTATACATGTTCCATATATGCATATATATGTATATATATATATATTATAATGGTATTATATCATAATCCCGACATAGATACTTGCTAAAATCCCAGACACATGTTTCGCCAATATTTTACCACTGCGTGACACAGCTGCGAGGGGTTCTGCTCTTCAGTGGGACCCCCAGCGTTCTCTTTGCGGTTTCTGGTATATGAACCCCAGAGAATAATCAAGTGGATAATTTCAGAAATTGCTCAGTGCAGGACTTGGAGTTAAATCTCCGGAACAAGACTTTTTAGGGTCAGAACCGAAATTTTAATGAACATTCAAATCGAAGACAA